GCACAAAAAGGGTAGTTTTTGCTGGTTGAAGCGTGTGACGAATTGAGGGTGTCAAATAGCCCAAAATCGGGAAAAAGGGTATGTTTGTTGAGTCAGGGATACTTTCTGTTAGACTAGAGAATGTCTGAGGTAGATCTTGTTTAGGATTAGGAAATATGTTTTGAGGGGGTTTACACTTGTTTAGGGGGGGGGGGGATTTTTTTTCAAGAAACGGCACAACAGTTTTTTTTGTATAAGGGTGTGATTTTGAGCAATGGACAAACTTTTTTAGGGTGATTTGAGGATTGTTTTGGAACACTTATGGTCACACACTTGTACAGTAATACTGACTCCCCCCCCCCCCCATCTCTCATCTGTTTGGAATAATAAATCATATAACAGAGTTAGCACCTTTCTGGCTCTGCATTAACAGAAAAACTATTGAAATACTGAACAAGTACATTCCTGTTTGAATGTAATGTAACCCAAAATGGCCACGTCCTTCCCTTTGAATGTACCAGATATGCTCCAATCTATATGCCATGTGTAATAATTGAGTTACCATACTGCTGGGAACAGGTGCATGTAGGGCATACTTATAAAGTATATAAAACACACAGTTTAGTGAGTACAAAAACCTGGGACGAACATCTATTCGGTGAAAAAATTATATACATTAAAAAAAGTAACAAAGTGCTATTAAATGCACCTTTTCGTGCATAAAACAACAGGGACCTTTGGTACTGGGTACTGCATCATCAATTTAAATTAACTCTCCTAAATACATGATGTCATTTTAGCTGGAAACCGGTAATTGCTGAAGCGGGATCAGAACCTGTTCATGATATTTAATAGCATCTTCATCTAAGGAGGAAGATGGAGTGCACTTATTATTAAGGCCAAAACAGTGTGTATCAACTTGCATATGGCTAAAAACCTGTACGTAATCATATGCACATATGCCTTATCCATGCAGGAATATTATGTTGAGGATTATCGTGCTATTTTTGAGTACCGTAGTTATCAACGCTCTCAGATTTGAAGATAAATGGTTTAGTACCTGTTATGGATAGAATATTAAAAGTAATTTTAACAACAAAAAAAAACAATTTGAATATAATTTTTTATGATCCGTTCTCCAGTGCGTATTAATACAAAGTACATACTTAAAAAATATCCTTTACAATCATAATTTCATGATATATGCATAATTTTTTCTCACCGAATTTATGTACTTACTGAACCCTTGTCTTGGGGTGAATGCTGCCCCTCTCCTTTATTAATTTCTGGATACGCCACTGGGGGTATGCATAGCTAGGTGTAGGGTCAAAGATCAATCCGTTTTTCCAATTCCCTATTGAACCTTTATACCATGTGCACATGCATTACCCATGCAGGAATAATATGTTGAGGAATAAACAGAACACATGCATTAATTGCCTGCTTTGCACTTTGAGCTAATTATATCCAAGGCTGAAACGTTTTTGTGCAAACCAATTTCCGTGAGGTTTTTCAAATTATCCAGTGCTCACTCAAGTATGAAATATTGGCATGGCTTCTAGTGCAGTCCGATTAAATAGACCCTCAACCATAATTTCATCAGAGAAAAAAAAGGAAGATATTAGATATTACAATTTGGAGGATATTTCAAAGAGTGTAACTTTGTAATATACACACTGTTTTACCATCATACTAAACAAATTCTACAGGTCTTTTGCTGCATGAAAATGTAAAAAGTGAAGTATCTACTGATGAAAGTGGTTAATTTTTTTAATGTAAACCCAAATTATGAATGTACATGATAGTAGAACAGGGCTTAAATTAATCCAAGGCCACCAAGGCCATGGCCGTGGATGCCCTTTTGAGTGGCCTCGATGCCCTTCCCATCGGCCTTGGAGATTTTCTGTGCCCTATCCAATTCTTCCTATTTGTGCTGTAATATAGGAATGTGTCCTTCAGAAAAGAGGCCTTGCCCTAAAAATATTGAAATTTAAGGCCTGTAGAATGATTCCATTACTCTAAACAGTAATATTTTGCCCACATGCATGTTGATGATATTAAAACATAAACATGATTTAGCCACACACAAATGTCAGTGTCATATGTGATATATGACCTTCGTAAAGACATGTTAGGGGATGTTTTTGATAGTTAGATAGATTGCCAAATTATACAAATTTGTTGAAGCACAAATGACATTTAGAGGACATTGTAAGTGTTTTTTATTTTTAGTAATCTGGCTGTGAGATCGAAAGCTTATCAGGAATAAAAGTGCCTTGAGTTAAAAAAACAAAGATGAGAGTATTTGTTTTGTTTTGTGCATCTTTAATTTTTAAAAATACAAAGCAATTCATTGTTATAAATACTGACCTGCATGTATGTATATAGCCATCGAAAACCTGTATTTTGGGTTATACTGTTTATGTAGCAACATACATGTAACCTTTTTCTTATGTTTTCTTATTCTTTTGTTATCTTTGTTATTACCCGTATTTCCATCTCCCCCTCCCCTTGTATATTGCCTTTGGTTTAGCTATCAAGCTATTTTGATACGCCCATGTCAATATCTGATTTTGTTTTTTTGTCTCTCTCCCGGCCCCTTCCTCTGTGTCTCCATCTGCCCCTCTCTGTCTCATTGTTTCTTATTTTTCCCTCTCTCTATCTCTTCCTCTCTTCATCTCTTATATTCTGTCTTTGTCGCTGCCTGTCCCTTCTCCCCTCCATCTCATTTGTACGTTAACCATCTCTCTACAGCTGACCCCTGCAACGTACCCAATACATGTGACAAATACAGCACATGTCGGCTTGATGACGACTTCAATAGTGAATGCTTCTGTGCAGACGGTATTACATGCATTGGTAAGTTCTATTCTGTACACTTTTCATGTTCCTTTCATTGTGCATAAACAGCTTAGGAACATATAAAGCTCAGCCGTAGCATGACAATGCACAGGAATGAACCACTATGAAGAAATACAACACTGCTTACAGATTATTTGATATCAAATTGTGAGAATTTTCTCACAATATGCGGAAATACAGTGCTTAAATTAAATCAGAGTTTGGCCAAGCGTATACAACCTCAGAACAGTTGTTTGATGATTCATATAACCGCATCAAGAATGAAGGCCGGACATGCATTTTCTCAGTGAAGACCCACTAATATATATTGGATGTGTGGTGCTTTCATGCAGTGACCAAGATAAAGTGGTTGCTCACTGAAGAAGCATGTAGCATATGCATGGGTACAGATTGCATATGTTACTCTTGAGCGTGGGAAAAGTGTGATCAAAATTACACTTCTGTGATCTTTTTAAAAATTATCGCTGATTTCAGATGGCTATTATACCTGTAATTCACCAACAAGGAGTATTTATCAACTTTTGGAAAACACGTTTGTTTGTGTTTTTTTAATTTGAACTGTGGATAAAATAGCTAGGTTTTGTGGCAAAAGGTTAAAAATAAATGCACTTGTTTCACCTGCAGGAAGACAACTGCTATCAAAGTGCATGCATGAGATTTAAATCCATATTTGGGCAGTTTAGCTTGCCTGTCAACAAAATTGATTCAACAATAAATATATGTATTGCATATGTTTAAGTGAGGAGAAATGGATGTATGAAACCTTGCCATACTAGTAAACTGATGAATTAAAATCTACTGTGTGCAAATGTGTGTTTTTTAAAATATTAAAATAAGGATTACTGTGGATTGACAGCAATTTGTAATGGTGTTCAGATTTTAAAAGCTGACTCTCAGTCCTCCTGTAAATGAAGTGAGAATGTGCGTCGGGCTGACCTGCTGTATAGTCAGCTACTGTTATTACACATGTGTATTAGAAATTAAACATACTTAAAATATTTTTTTTTAAATTGATAGATAATTCCCGTACCTGTATCTTTTGTAATCATTTTTTTCCTTCAAAATCCAATCTTAAAAGTTATCAAGTTGTAGATTTGCACCTTTAACATTTTATGTCCATTAAGAATAGAGAGATAATTTGAGGAAATATACATGCTCTTGTGGAATGGATAATCATATCAGATAAACAGAAATGCAGAAATTAATGCAGAAATTACCCTTATTTATTATGACAAGTCAGGAGATTTATGAAGTAGGATCCAGCCCTTCTTTGATGACATTTCTTTGTGAAAGTCTTCTGTATAGTGCAACTACTGTTGTCAGTGAAATATACATGACCATTCTAAGACACTGCACCATGCTCTGCTGAATACAATCCTGTCAGCAACTGTTTATTACATGCTAATCATAATTTGATGTAAACGATGATTTGTCTTTCCTTGATTTATGATGAGTTACAGTTCCCAGCACAAGTCTCTTTCCTTAAAGCATGAATAATTCTCGCACCTGTTATTGGTTGGCTCAAATAAGTCCCACGTGTATGCTTGCCCCATATTCTATGTGAGGTCACCTCTGGTAGCAGTCCCAGTGAGGTTAAGGGCAACTGCTCAACCCCCCCCCCCTGCCCCTGCCCACCCCACCCTCCTCACCCCCATCCTCCTGTTTGCATGTACTCAGAATATTGGCACATCCAGGATCTGTCTTGAACAATTTCCATGCAAAGATAATTACCCACCCAGGAGAGTTGCCCATCGATGATAATTCACCACTCATGATGTGTGGTAAAAGAAATTGTTGCGGCAAAGTAGAAATTATGTTAATCCCCCTCCCCCTCCCCTTCCCCTTCCCCTCCCCTTCCCCTTCCCCTTCCTCCTTCTATTTAGCTACATGAACTTAATGTCCAATAGTCACCATTGACAATTCCAATCAAGGACAATTATCCACCCATGAGAATTACCCTTCAATGATTAATTATCAGTACAAGGTACCACTTATATCATGACAAACTTCCTTAAAAACTAGTGGTAAAAATTAAATACTACTGAAATTCATCCATCACTCTCACTTTTTTCCTTCTCTCTCTCTCTCTCTCTCTCTCTCTCTCTCTCTTTCTTTCTGAGCAGTGGATGAATGCAAAAAGGAGTCTAGCCCTTGCATCACCATGGCAACCTGTGGTGAATCGTCCCTGGACATCGTAGAAGGCTGGAAGCACCATGACTGCAACTGTGGAAATGAAGCTATCAACTCCACGATGTCAGAAATATCTGTCCAGGTGACTTTCATTAAAAAACAAACACAGTCACACTGCTTAACTGTCTCCAAACCGACTGATAATCATAACATTTTAGTCACTTTGTGTCATAGTCTCTTGTTGGTCAGGGCCAGTATTTAATTCATTACTTGTTCATTACTTATCTCAGAGATGTGAGTATTTTATTAGGTTTCGGCTAAGATTAAAATACTAAGCCAACTCCGGTATTCAGTTGATGCTTATGGCTAAGTATTTTAGCCTGAGTTTAGGACAGTTCCCCAGCTGACTTTAGCCAATAATTTTGGAAGCCTTGACTCATGTAATTTTCATTTGCAGTCATGATAAGCCACGCACAATCATATCAGCGGGTCTAATGCTCCACCCTGACATTAGAAAGTTGATTTGTATAAAAGTATTCCCTCTGAAACATATGTCTCTCTCTCTGTATGAAGTAAACATAAATCCTTTATCCTCAAAAATCAAGAAAAGGAATTTATAGTTCGGGGGAGGGGAGTGGGGAATGACATTTTTTCTGATTCCATGTAGATGTTATTTTATGCTCTTTGTAACTGAATGTGTGGATTGGTTTTAGTAGATGGAGTTAGCTTCAATTTAATATAATATCGGAAAGCTTGCATTCAGAAAAGACTCCAAGCAACAACAAAAAATGGATTCTATCTACTAATTGGCAGCTTCAAGGGTCATATATATTATAAATGTGTAATCATGTTTAATTCCAGAATAGAGTAGATTTTCAAAATATTTTGTGAATGTTGAATTTGTTTTTGTTTTCTCTGTATGGTAGATGGTAGAACGTGTAATGCTAGCAGGTGTGATGAGCATGTCCATTGCAACTACATCCATATGCCAGGGGGAGTTCGATACAACTGCTCCTGTGTTCCTGGCTACTCCTTCAATGAGGAAGGGCAATGTGAAAGTAAATGAATACATGAATAAATTAATGAATATATGAATAAATTAATGAAATATAAATAAATAATTAAATGAATAAATGAATTATGTACAATGAAGGCCTCTTCTCTTTATGCTCCTTTGCTAAAATGGATAGAAATATTATGTAATACAAATACACCCAGTGGTATTCATTTGGACCAAAAGAATATAAAATATTTATTTTGACATCTACATGTACATGTAGTACATTTTAAATCTACAAATTTGACACCACTCTTTTTGTCTGTACTTGTTAAAAATGTTTGTTTTGAGTTGATTTATATCCAGTACAAAGCAATTACCAATTAGGAAGCATTTTATGAGAGGTAATGTGTGTCAACGGTTATAAAATATTTGTACATGTTCATATACATTATATGAAATTAATTGTGGCCTTTCTTTTATGTTTTTACTTTTTCAGAGGATAAGACAGTGTATCTGGTGGTGATAGTTGTTGTAGCGGTATTTCTTTTGGTAACAGCATTGCTAGTGGGCTTCAGGTTCATCCTAAAGACCAGGCCAGACAAGATATGCCAGCGGAACCCGTACAGTGGTAGGTGTTAGGGAACAATGGGATGTGGACAGAATAATGAATGGGTGACACTAGAGAGATAGAGAGAGAGAGAGAGAGAGAGAGAGATAGGGGAAGAGAGAGAGAGAGAGAGAGAGAGATAGGGGAAGAGAGAGAGAGAGAGGGAGATAGGGGAAGAGAGAGAGAGACAAAGAGAGAGAGAGAGAGAGAGAGAGAGAGGGAGAGGGGGGCGAGAGAAGGGGAGAGAGAGAGAGAGGAGAGGGGGGTGGAGTGAAAGAGAGGGAACGGAAGATAGAGAGACAGACTGATACCGGTAGATGGACAGTCGGACAGAGAAATATAGAAAAGAATGACTGATAGTTGTTACAAAATCTTTCTTGCAATCATGAGCAAGTAAACCTATTAACCAAAGTGTAACATAACATTAGTTTGCTATTCTCATTTCCTATACAAATGTGTTTTTTTTTTAATATTTCTAATTTATACAACTGTAAATATATGTTTTCAACCCATATTGGAATATGTAAATTAGGATAATTATACATTTTAATGAGAAAAAAAATAGGAAGAAAGAAAGAAAAAAAAAGAGATAAGAGAGCCTTGAACTAGGAGAAAAGGATAGATTAGAGAAAGGAAGAGTAAGAATAGGTATGGATTTAGGGAAGGGTTTAAAGGACATTTCTAAAACCTCTATCACATCTGACTTGGTAAAGCGACTCAAAAGACTGCCACCATAAAATAAATATAAAAGAAGGGCAGGAGGGATAAAAACAAAAGTAGCTGCAGGCAACATAGGCCATATTTGCCGGGGGGGGGGGGGGGAGGGATAATGGTAGGCAGATTACTATGTCATGTGTGAATAAGAATTAAGAAGTTGAGTGTGGTCATCTTCAGTCACTCTGCATTTATCAATCTCCTGAGAATTTATAAGCTTCATGTTTTATTAAGTATACACATATATATCTTCTGCCATGGATATTTGCTTTGCTCAAAGTCATGACTAAAGCACAGTATAAAACATTAATATGTTCTACGATACATTTATCTTTAAAAGTCGTGAAACTATAGATTTATATATATACAAATCTTTTGCCATACCATTTCAATGCTGAACTGGATACTATTGATTGGCCACTTGGCCACACCTTATATAAGACCTACTTTTGAAAGCTTTTTTTTTAATGAAGCATGTTGTTAAGATTGAAATTTCATACAAAAGGATTTTATGCACATTGCATGTGCACTGCTGCATGGACATCACAGCTAAAGAGAGACAGCAATGAAGACCAGTTGAAAATCTTTTCTTTTTGATTTGTTTGCACATTTTTGCAGAGGATATAAGCCCATCACCACCTACACCTCCTCCAGAACCAAATAACTACCCGCATAATGGTAAATGTTCACCTTCCGCACCTTACGATCACTACTGCTCAGGGAACATTCAAATTGGCAACGCACATGCAGAATGCCCATGATTTTATCTATTTATTTGTTTATTTATTGTATTTATTTATTTATTTATTTATTCATTTATTTATTTATTTATTCATATGGCTAGGTGTCATCATTTATTTAGATGATGTATTAGGGCATTTTTTTTAATTTTGGGCCATATATAAAATTGTAAGAAATAATTAAATTACCATGAGCTTTTGTAATTATTTTTAAGGGTAAGGATGCTAAGTCATGCATACATTAAAAAAAGGTATACTCTGTGTGCGCAGAACCAGAAGGACATTAAGTATTAACACTCAATATAGAGTAAAGACTCTCTGCAGACTATGTCGTTATAGTTTGACTCAAAGATATGCAAGGTCAAACTGCTCATAAGGGACGTGGAGTTAGATTAGATTAGATTAGAATGCAATAATTATTTTAGATCTTTCTTTAAAAAAAAAAAATATATATATTATAACAAATATTAAAGCTATGATATGTGTAAAGTATGTTGTAAGCGTGACTCAAAGTGAATATCACTTCATTGTATGTTATGTGCATAGAATCTAACACATCATTGTTCTCTTTCTCTTCATACCCTCAAATACATGTTTCATTTCATCATGATATTCCATATACATTTGTAGATATCTTCAAGTATTCATTTCACAGTTAATAGTTTGCTTTAATACATTTAGCTGCATTTAGATAGCTCTTTCTCTCTTTCTATAGTAATTCAGTATAATTGCACATTTTTTTAAAAGCTTTTCCTCCAATTTCAACCATTTTTTTTCAATGCAACAAAACATCTTATGATTTATAGCAGACATACAGTTGATATGTTTGTGATGTTTGCAAATGATTCAGAGTCTGTTTTGTGTTATAGATTAGTTGTCATACCATACTGACGCTTCCAGAAATTGATGAAAATGGGATTATTAAAAGTGATGTTATCTGTTTAGAGCCAGAAGGGCAATAGCTTTCATTTAGTCAACACAGAAATAACACCCTTCTGACCCGGGGCAGGTGCCCACCTCAAAAAAGTTCAACAACACCCCCCCCCCCCCCCCCCCCCCCCCCCTCACAAACCATTGCCAACACCAATATCACTCTCACGTAAAGTTCCAATAAAATTTGAAAGTGGATGGGTCCAGCCATATCAATATTCCACACCCTTTGTCAATGAGATACATATATATATATATATATATATATATATATATATATATATATTTTAAAGCAGATGTTTCTGCATTTATTGATAAATCAAATATTAAACATTCAAATAACAATAATAGTATATAATATTATTGATTTACAAAAAGAGTGACAACTTAATACACACAAAAAATGCATATATATATATATATATATATATATATATATATATATATATATACATAATTGAAAACTTGAAAGTATGGAGGTGAGTAAAATAATCAAGATAAATGCAGAGGCCAGTTATCATAAGCATATATGCCAAATGTACAATGTTATGCAAATAATGATTTCAAGAATATTTACCAAAATTCTTAAAATATAATTTGTTGCAAAATGGTGGCAGAAAAGTGAAGGGAAAACAAGCAAAGAAAAGCAAATGCAATGAAAAAGTACAGCATTATCATGTGTAGAGTCATTATTGTGTATGATTTTATGATGAAGAAGGATATATAAAGAAGGGGGGAGAAAACCCAATCATAGAAGAAGAAAGCAAATTGCCAGCACAATGAGAATAGTATAAAAAGGGATTGCACCCTTTAAAGGAAAAGAGTAATAAATAGAGGGAAAATGGATGACATGGTCTTGGAAAGATGTTTGTTTTGCTCTGAAATACGTCTGATTCTTGCTTTTCAAATCAAATAGGTTTATTGTTAATACAGAATGTGAGAGATGAATGTGAAATTCACCACCCCCACCACCACCATCAAAGGCTCTATATAGAGACCAAGGTTTCTAGAGACAAAGGTTTGTTTTGTAAACGTCTGAAAGGTCTAAAGATTTGTTACACTGATTATATTTTTCCTATGAACCTCCCCAAATTTTTTTTTAGCTCCAAACAAGCTGACTCTTCTAGTTTCAGGTCTTTCAAAACCGTGCAAGGACTGGTGTGTAATTTGGAGAAATAAGCTCCCCCTCTTTTCTTCATGAAATTCTCGACTGCCCTCATCCATCATATTTTAATTGCAGGACCCCCCCCCCCCATGAATCCTTTCCTTCTATAAGACAAATAAGTAGTACCTTGTATTTTAATGATATAACAGGATTATTTTTTGTGATGCAAAATTGAAAAGTATGAGAAAATTTGATGTATTTTATAAATTGTATAACCCTAATTCTTATATGCACTGCATCATTTAAACAAAGTAAAGGGGGTACCCCCCCCCCCTTTAGAAATGAGGAAATGCACAAATCTGTTTTTTTTTTCTTTTGCCAGCATTGCATGCAGTTCACCTTTAAAGTCTTAACCGGTTACCTTTAAAGTGAAACGGTAACATTGTTGAAGATTGATGAATAAAATGTTTAATTTTTGTATGAAATGTTACTTATTATATTCCTTCTACTGTACTAACCCTCTAGCATTGAAAAAATCCTGAAAAATAGTGTCAAACCACAAAGATATTCATGGTTTTCTCTGAAGGCGTCACTGTGTAACACCCCCTTACAGTAAATTCTCCCAACCAATTTTTGAATTTTCCCAACCGTTTTTCCATGAAAATAAGACATAAAACAGGCTTTTTAAAATCTTTCAACACTTAAAAAGTTTGAAATGGTATATAGAGCTGTGACATACAATTTAATTAAGTTATAATAATATAATTGGGAGAATTCAGGAAGTGATCAGATCAGTTTTCCCCAATTTTTATTATTAATAATTAACTTTCAGATAATATTTAATTGTACCGTAATTAACAGTGTATTAACCGAACTTTTTTGCCGCTGAAAAAAAACTCAAAGGTGCGTCTTATACACGGTACACACAAAACAAAACAAACAAAAATTAAATTAAAGTTTCAATTTATGCCCCTCCACCTTGCGATATGCCTGGCAATTTCTCCCAGCTCAGTAATCGGTGTGTTGACTCACCACTCAGAAACTAGAACAACACTCAAATTTGTCTGTTATCTTGGTTTGAAAGTAATCTTTCTGATAGATCTCAATATGTAGTTTATAATAATAATTCCTCCAATTTTTCTTCTATTACACGGCGTACCACAAGGTTCTATCCTAGGTCCTCTACTTTTTTTTAATTTACATTAATGATCTTACACATTCAGCTGCACCTCGCACTTAAATGAAAGGCCTTCCCGCATGGGTTTTTTAACTCGGACCCGGCTTGCTTTGTTTCTTAGGGCGAAAAAGAGGGGTGCTATTAATACACAAGGGCGGTTTATACACCGTTAATTAGGGTACATCTAGCAATGAAGTCACCATGGCACCATTTTCTCTCATCTGGACAAGGTTACCTTGGCACTTCGCAAATATTATGCTAAACAGAGCGCTTCATTTAGGATCTGACCAAGGCATTTTGACATTTTTATAGTGTAGTCTAAATCTCAATCTACTATAATTATAGTCTCTTTCACTCATATATTTTTAGCAGCTTATTTTTCAATGCATCTGTTTAACAACAATGTTTTCTCCTGTATATTCTGTCTAAGCTAATCACTCGAGGAGCCAAGCAAAATAGTCGAAGAGAAAACTAAAAAGATATTCATTTCTAAGATGTATGTGAAGATGTACTATGCCGGTATATTCATTCTTTCATATATATATATATATATATATATTTTAAATGATACATGGCAGAAATTCATCTAACTACGCAAATATTTACAGTATGCAATGTGTTATGTAGATCTAAGATCCTCATATCCAATCCACACACACAAAAAGAAGTATGATGATCATTGGTGTGCTTTTATATAAGTTTTTTTTTTTTCGTTTTCATCATTTAAAAAAGCAACATAAAACTTATTTGCATGATTACAAGTGACAAAACAAATCATTTGCCATTTGTTGAATTATTTGATATTTGACCAAATCATACAATGTTGTAAATTCAGTCCTAAAGACACAACTGATGTTGTGGCTTGAATGAAAGAAAATCATTAAATTCAGGAGTTCATTTTTGTTGTAAATTTAATATCCGAAAGATTGTCATGCTTTTGTGGATGCTCATTGTTTAGGTAGAGAATCTTAGACATGATTTTCATTTCAAGATGTATTTATGTGTTCCTTATTTCCTTTTAACTGCATTTCTACATATCAATTGTCAATAATTTCAGTATGGTACATGTCTTAAAAGATTTTATTTCTCATATCATGCACAAATCAGGCTCTCCATCAAGGTTTCTTATTAAAATTGAAGCATATTATCTGTAAAAATGCAATCATTATGATCATAGAAATCAAATTTCTAAATGTATGGACCTTAAAGTGTTTTTGAAGAGCACATATCATGAATCAGCTTGAGAGCTAGCTCAGCTGGAATTAACTGCTAATGGTAATCAAGAAGAATCTGAATTCTATAAAAGACGATGAAGGACGAATTCTTCCTAAACAATTTTGTAATGAAGTTATTACTGATCTGAAACGTCTCCCAAGGTCAATGTGTGCCTTGGATCTGCTTGAATGTTTGCTTATTTAAAGGGAGTGTATCATGGGAAATACTGGTTAACGCCATCTATGTCTTCTTTTGGACAACTGCATGTAAACAAATGGACTTGATTAACTGGGTCAGCGCACTAGCGTTCACGAAACAGATATTTCTCCTCCCGCTCGGTTTCGCGTTTGTTGCACGCACGTGAATGCAGCGGTCGCGTCGTCCGTAGTGTATTTTACCCGATCGGCCCCGAGTAGGGCCACGGGAAAGACACACAGTATCGTCATGATACACTCCTTTTAATGTAATTCATCTACATTGTAAATGTGTCCCATGTTCTCTGTGTCTCACTTGAGTACATCCTATGTTCATCACCAACATGGTATTAAAGCTTGTATAAAGACTGTCCATGGTAAGATCTATATAACGATTAAACTTGTGTTTCATCCTGTCTTACAGAGCCCTCAGACGTTCGGAGGGTCTACGAACCAATCCCAAGTATCCTAAACAGGCCGGTGAATGGGGGTGGTGCTATAGATTACACCATCGAATCCAACAACGCTACCAACAACGAACCCAACAATGAACCCGAGAAGAGGATTCTCATCATATCCACAGAAGAGACGGAAGAACATCGCGATGTCATCTACAAGTTTGCAGTGTTCCTCAAGGAATATGCGGGTTTACTCCCCATTATTCCGTCCCAGCATACGAACGACATCCACAAATTGACCCTTGAAACGTGGCTGTGCAACGAAAACAGACAAGCCTTCAAGGTGCTTTTCATCTGCTCGCTGGGCATGTTGGATCGGTGGGTGCGAGAGAGAGAAGGTGACCCAAATCCAAACAGGGGGATACCAGTAGAATCCGAATTTGGCGATCTGTTCATACAGATGAAACACATCACCAGTACAGAGAGGCGCAAACTAGGAACGCTACAAAAGTTTGCAGTAGCATACTTCAGTGATTATTTCAGTAAAAGAATGGTGGATGACATAGAGCTCTTTAGAGGTATGCCTTGCTATAATTTAATGGCAGATGTGGAGACACTTTGCTTTCGCCTAAATGGTATTGAGCAGAACACTCCAACGTCAAGTCGCAGGATGCCACAGGTGAAGGAGTACGAAAGAGTCGAAGAAGGTCAGGCTCTGTTACGAGCCATCAGGGTGATGAAGTCAAGACATGGCATAGCCGCTCCTACACTAGGAACCCTGCGGCAGTTTAGCCAAGTATCAACGGACAGTGACCGCACACCTACACCAGAGAGATCTGTCAGTCCACACTATGAACTGAACTCACAGGAAGGTTCGGAGAATAGTGTTGCATTCCAACCAATCACAGAGGGTGCGCAAAAGGAAATGGCGAGTGTTTCAGGATTCTTCTCCAATTCTTACAGTGATAGTGATGATGAAAGCAGTAGCAACAGCGGAACGCACCAGGTGGATGTTCATCGTCACAGCGGCGATGATTCCGGATTTACCCTAGCCCAGCCGGATTATAGACCGGTCGCAGCTGTCCCATCAAAACCTGATGACTACTCTTTAAATGGACTAGACTCTGGCTTGAGCAGCCTTCCAATATCCCCCTTGTCAAGTCGAGAGGATAGTGATCCAATGACTGGCCATCTTGCAAGCCTTGATGCTTCAGGACATATCCAACCCATGCCAATAAAGCGTCACGCATGGATGCCTGTGTTGTTCATGTCCCAGCAAAACCTGATGAATATTCCTTAGATGTTCTAGACTCTGGCTTGAATAGCCAACCAGCATCCTGTATGTCTGGTGCACAGGAGAGCTCATTAGCATGAGTCGTCTTATCATGCTAAAATTGTCCATAAATGTTTTAAATCAATATTAAAATGCATCATGTTTCTACGCTTATTGTTCAAAGCGGCATCTCTATTCAACTCGATTAAATTCACTTGATAACTCAATTAGGCAGTGTATTCATAAGCATTATCACCTTCTAATTAATTACCTTCTCTAATTCTGTGCAATCCTCCTGAGATAATTCAATGTCTTACATTAACCTTGGCTAGCATGTTTTACATTCCAAGAGCAGGACGATGTAGTCACTCTCAGGATAGTTCTGCCTTTTTCCAGCTTGTTTACGGTCTCATGGCTCATATGAGAGAACCTTGAGAGAACAACCACTCCTGGGGGGTGTTTCACAAAGATCCTAAGTAGAACTTAACACTAAGTTGGACTTAAAAATTATGGACAGCCATTGGAGTCTTAAAATGAAATATATTCAAAAGCAGAAATTCAAGTATTTTAAGACTTTTTATAAATTCCGCATCCAGAACATGAAATCTCCTTGATGATAGAAAATATGAATGATTTGAATAAACAATTAATGCCTTTCAAACTAACTTTTACAAAATATTTTCAAAGATGCTAATGGCTTTCCATAATTTTTAAGTCCAACTTAGAGATAAGTTCAACTTAGGATCTTTGTGAAACACCCCCCTGCTTTCATCAGATATCCTGGTTCTACGACACATACTCTGGGGACAATTGCTCTGCGGTTAATATCCTACACTAACCAAATTCCTAACTTCAACCGTGGACCAAACGCTTACCAAAACCAAACCACATCCTATCATGTAACCCAACTGTATAGCTATATATCTTTGATGATGATATAAGGCCTCGAGCAGATGTCGCAGGAGCAAATGTGGGAGCCCTGATGTCATACTCTTTATCATTCGTACACAGGTAGATGATTTTGTAACCCATTTCAGGTCAAAGTAACTTTACCATGGTGTTTTTAATATTATTCTATGTGAAATGGACAGTTAGTGCTACACTGCTTCTTATCAGAGCCCAGAGTTGGTATGTCGTGATAAAATATTGTACATCAATATTATGTGGAATACTAGGAAGACACAAAAATTCATCAGAATAACATACATAAAATTAATATAGAGAGGGTAAAAATTAAAAAGTACCGGTAATGTTGATTCTGATGAATACATATTATTCAAACAAGAGGTGCATGTGTAGTTCCTACTGAAAGTCTTTATAACGGGTGTACAAATTATGAACTAGTATTCAAAACTGTTTTTGAAGCCAATCATCGATCTCTATATACGAACACCAATCATGTAACGTCTCATGTATTCTCAAAAGTAAACTTGATAGAGTTTGGATATACTTCTTGGTTTTTTAACCAAGTCCTGAATCTGCACAACAATAAAAATTCACATAAACATATTATGAATGTGTTATATTTCTCTTTAACCTATATCATACAGGAAGCAGTTGCTTCAGTGTTGATCCTAAGGGAATGAATTAAAGTATTCAGTAGTTTATATTAGTTTAAAATGTACGATACCACAGGTGTTTTCAAGAAATATTTGGTCTTTTAGCAGGAAAAATATCACTTGACCGGAGTGTGGAATGCATCTTACCGAGGAACAGTGCCTTTAACGCATTACCTACCGGAACTGAATGTTCCTTTTATGCAGTCTTTGGGAATAGGAGAATTTGGTAGTCAACAGATTAATGCCTCGAAACATAACCCTGTCAATTCTAGTTTTAGGTACCTGTATCTATCCTGTATATCAATCCTCTATATATCAAATCGTATATGACATCTTTATTTCATGGAATTCTTCAGAAAGTATGTATTTTTTCTTGCTTCATTCTAACAACCTTTGACATATTATACTTCAGTGTTTCTTGCTCTTTTCTTTCAAAGCATATCTAATCTGATGGTAGAAATCTATCATTTTGATGTAGATTATTAAAGATATATAATAATGGTCGTGTAGTCATGTACACTAAGAATGAACAGGATATAGGAAACTTTCATTGGTGGGGGTAATCATAACATACCAAGTCGGACCTTTGGTTTTGTGTGTTATCCTTTATTTTCTTTGTACTCTCTAATCATTAACCTATAGAATGCCAGATAGAATTTTTGAGGTTGGTTTTATACCTTCAAGCTACATGCGATTATTTTTCAGGTGATTGGTACACTTTAAGGAAGGATTGATATACATACAGTAGTGACTAGCGAAGAGTTTCCTCAGCATCCTATACCTCATTATGGTAGAATTTGCTATACAGGTATTTAAAGTGGAAAGAGGGGGTAACCATGTTGATATGTTCATGTGGTAACTCCGAGTCATTGATGAGAGTGCCTTTGTTGTCGTGGATGTTTGGAAGTCAATCCGCTGGATACATCTCAGAGAAAGTCAACTCAAACACACTCTATTGGTGCCTTTATTCAATCTCTGAGTATGAAACAAAACCTCACTTTTCACAGCGAAAGAAGAAAAAAATCAGGTTTTGAAAATGACAAGTTGGTATTTTTTCAATGATGTCCAAATACATATTATATGCCTGAAGGACTACTTGGAGAGAAAATTATCAAAATGATGTGAAAATTAACAAAATAGGACATAGAAAGTTGAAGTGCATACAGCTACAAGTAACTCAATGTGTAGCTCTAGATATATACTACCGGTGGTTGAGAAACGGTGTTAAAATATGTCCATTTATTCTGGTACAACTGTATTAGAGGAATGTTTATTATCGTAGTTTAGAGGTATACAAATATACATGTAACTAAGTGCAATTCTTAGTAAATTGAGTCACCGTCCACATGAACATTTTATTAGCCAGTGACGGAGGTTTCCTCGGTCTAATCTAATTCTCAATTTTAATTCTTTTCATGTACTTCTTTCACTTCTGTGCCAGTCATATGTTTTTATTGAAGTTATATTATTGATTATTGAAATGTTATAAAATGATTTATGTCAAATTTTGAAATGAAATGCAACAGAGTGTCATGTACCAGTGTGTTGTGGGTGTGTTTTGCCGGTGAAGGGTATGTATTGAATATTAATAGAACAAAGTGTTCTAGAAATGTATTTGTGTTTCATGCATTGATCAGTGTACTAACTACAAAAATGCTATAGAATTAACTTACAAAAAGGTAAGCCTATTCCTACAGTGTATGATAAATGTTCAAGATGTTGTACATGGATTATAGAATGATTCCTAGTCACATTTGTAAGTGTACATTATATTTTTTTCATGGTTGATTGTTTTCTCGTGAATCCACCTGTTTCCTTTCATGGTCATTGATGGAAGTTCGACTAGATATTGTATTCATATTGTAGTATAATCACATCTCAAGATTAATCCTAACTGCAGGCATATAATTGACCATTGCCTGTTACATTCCAAGTACAGGGCAGTTGTCAAACATACTGGGCGGTATATATCAGCTAGAATGCAACGCCATGAGCTTCTCATAAAGGGAATATGATTTGTTTCCTTATCATGTAAGCCAGTCAAATGTATAAGAAAGTACTTTCTTTAGTGAAATATGTTACAAATTGGCCCCCAGAACAGTGGAAATGTATAAATCACATTCTTTTATTCATTGCAGTCCATTAGATTAGTGAATTGTTGATAAACGTTGTAAAGATAAACAGCTTCAATGAAAATCTTCTGAGATACATGTATTCATGTAAATTTATTATAATAGTGGTAACTTTGGATATTAACCTTGACAAAAATCAAGACTATGGTCAATCTGACTATTTAGCAGGTACCCTTTTATCACTGTGATTGCTTTGATTATGATAAATGAACTCTGCCATTTCTTTTTGTCTCTCTCATATGCTTCACATTTAATTATATATAGATATATATTCATATATTCATATACACCATTATCAAATTCCACATACATGTATTACTTTTGTCTTTCCCTGGCAAATTCCTTCTTAATGCATTCCTATATTGACAACGATAAATGTTTGCAATGTTCGCAGAGCTTGCATGATGCTTCATGTTTTTTTTATATTTCTATTTCATTATCAGGCATTTATACTTTCTGGGCATTAGATTGTATGTAGTTTAAGGTAGAGATTGGCAGTAGTGAATATTTATGCACTACTTCTACTTTCATTTGAGTGTATTATTTTGGAGTGCATAGAAGCTATTTGTAAAACAGTGAAAAGAAAATGAGAGATGTGAGGTACAAACTTATCTTGATGTTATAACATTTTTCACATACTAAGCAATTCACTGCTTAGTATGCAGTACAAATAATAGTTTACAAATTTATATCGTAACAACAGATTTGTATTAATGAAAGTATACATGTATAATGTTACTTAACCCAACAGAGTATTTTTTAAGTAAATGAAAATATGTACTGCACGATCTGTTGTGTTAATGCACTTTCTTCTCTTTTTCTGTAAATGGGAAAGCATTCCAAATACATGATAGAACATGTCATCTGTAAAAAAAAATATTGAAACCTTGATAGAACATCTGTTTTCCATCTATTGTGTTCAGGATCGGAGCATAATTTATGTCTGAATATCATCATTCTGCAATTTTTGTTTCTCATAAGAAGTACTATCAAAATGTGTGTGTGAATGTTGTATCAGAATCAGGAATCGGTCTGCATAGCATACTCCATTGGCATATTATTCTTTGCAATCAAGCTATCAAGCTTAGTTGTTTCTGTGCAAAGATGATTAGAGGTTTGATAGATGTAAAGCCCTGAATAATCAATACATAATGTGGGTGTTGGTATATATATATATATGCATTAAAATGTGAATCACATTGTTCGCGGTTCGAGTCCCTCTGCAGCACCAATGTCCTTTGGTAAGAAATTGATCTATTTGCAACTCTTCATCCAGGTGTTGAATGGGTACCAGTAGCAAGGAAGTCCTTCAGTGCTCTCTGCATCAAGAGTAATCACTGGATATCAATGTAACCAAATGGCCAGCTTTTTTCATCAAAAGCTTTGGTTGTACAATGATTGGCAAATCAATAAACACCCGGATCCAGAGGTCAATGGGAACCTCTTGAGTGTCTGACTTCACTATTTGAATCAAGATAGCGACCCTCATGAAAGACTGTATAACAAGGAAAATATCAAATTGAGGAGTAACTAAATAAGAATACCAGTAAGTTCTATCCTTTTTTTTATAGTACACAAGCACACACGTGGAATACGGTTATCAGCTGATGACTGTATTGGGTTTGAACCTTGTGTATTAAAGAAGGGTCATATCCTGCCTGGGCTGCAGCTCAAGGGGTTTCACCTGTTGCCCAAGGGGTATTGCTTGATGCCTGTTATTGTTTTAATTGAAAGGCTGCAGATGGCATGATAGGCTACCCATATTTATCATGAGGATGCTAAGTATTAAAGTCAGAACAATTATAGAGGCATTCCTTGTTTACCAGCTGTAGAGATGTAACAACAATATGATTTACGCAATGCCTCTGATCTGGAGATGTCAGAGTACAATTGTGTAAATGGTTGATCAAATGTATGATGGAACCGATTTCTGTAATGATAGAATTGGTCTTCATAGAACAGGTTTATATCAGCATTGCTCGCTGCTAATGAGCATTTTCTCAGATTAAATACGTTTTCTACGTGAGCCATACTATCCTGACCATTTTGCTATTATTGATATGTAACCAGTAACCAGTCTGTAAACCCCCAAATATATTCAAAGGTGTATGTTTGTTCCCACTTGTTGGGTTACATGGTTTTGCAAGAAAATGTACAAGGCCCTCTTGTAGGATGAATATATCCAGACTTTAGTAGGAAAAGTGGCGTCCTGTAGCATACCTTGTGGCTGCCACTTTCTTGGTAATGTGACGTATAATGTGGAATTCGCACATGAATCTTATGGAAACATTTTTTATTTCAATAACATTTATTGATAACACAAATCCCATTTTTTTTTTTTTTTTTTTGGGGGGGGACTTCGGTTGAACTTTTTTAGACCCCTCCCCAGGACGTCGATCAATTACATGTATGTGCCCCCCCCCCCCCCAAAAAAAAAAAAAAAACATCAAACTCTGGCTACGGCCCTGCACCCCAGAGCAAAACCTAATGCATGCAATCTGTATTATTAGTACTTTTAAAGTTCATTATCTTAAAGCAGGGGGATGCAATAGGTCCTTGCTATAGGCGCTTGTGAAAGTAGCATCTATACATTTGAATAAATTTGTGAACCCTGTTGTGACTCTACCTCATTATGTCAGATTATCAAGAAAATAGCTGCCCCAAGTACACATAATTCTTTGCAACAGAACATTTTGACAGAAATCTTGTGGTTTATTTCCCTCTTAATATTTCAGTGTGGAGTCTTGTACGTCAATGTGGGGAATAATTGCAATATTGAAGAATACCCGATTTCATATGTAGGGGTTAATACCAGGCCTGAAAAAAACCTTATTTTTTCCTGATTTAAAAAAAAAAAACCTATTTTATCTCGATTTCCCCTTATTTTCCCTATTCTCCCCCTTTTTCCCCCTTTTCCCCCCTTTCCCCCCTTTTTCCCTATTATTTCCCAATTTTGTTCTCGCTCAAAAGGGGGGGGGGTGTTGTTAGATGCCATTTTTTCCCCCGAATCCTCTTCTTTTTTTTTACTCAAGGGGGCATGGTGGAGGGGGGGGGGGGAATCCTTTTTTTGTTGTTGCTCACTATCACCCCTGTAATTCTAATTTATGGGCATGCCAGATATAGGTCCATATCAATGTCTCAACAAAGTGACCAATCATAGATCTTGCTATTGCCTTGTATCATGCAGAATCTAAATACCAGTTCCAAGTCTCTTGATAGTTTAATTCAAAGTCAGTGTCCACTTGATACAGGAATTGAGATTGATTTATGGACTTCCATGGATTATTTAGTTGACTATCAATTTCGTTAGTTTTTTTAAATATTTTTTAAATTCCATTCAATGAATTGTGTGTTGATCACAAATGCGTGCTGTATGGGACATGTATGGAACTTGAAAACACTTTTAAAAATGAAGAAAAAAAGATCAAATATGTGTGCGCATTTCACAGTACTCCTTGTATTTCAGTTGCGTTCACATGTATTATAACAAGTCTGTGTTGGTATGTAGTATTCATCTGTCGATATCATGTTTGAGTATTGCCTTATTGAGAAATGTACATATTGAGCTCAGTGTCATATAATGTTGATTATATTTGTATGTACACTCATGGATGCACAAATATTCAGTAGTACTTTTTATATGAAACAAGAAAAGAAGAAACAAACTTATATTTGATTGAGGGATGTTTTAGGGTGTAGTTCAGAAAAATTGTGAAATCAGCCTCTTTTCATTAAATTGTGTGGCCCTTAGAATTTTATGCCTGCTCTGACGACCATTGTTCAGTAGTGATTTTCATAAACTAGCCAAAATCTTAACTTTAATTTCCTTGATTTGACATAAACCTTGCCATATTTTTCATCTTAAATTTCAATTTTTAAAAGAACAGTTGGAACCGTACCAATTTCATGAAATGAAGAATGGATGAGCTGTCGGATCACTGCCCTTGCATGCAGAAATTTTCATTAACCTGATAGTTTTTATTATAAGATGCCTCCAATGTTAATCAAACTACCCTGACTTCCGGTTACTGAGAGAATATAATACTGGATATTTGTTCAAACTTGTTCAATCCCATTCAAGTGTGTACTATACAGGTTTTAATGGAGACTTTAAAAGTTATGACATAGTAAATCTCTTCAACAAAGCTTAAGTCCTTTTTTAATGCTAAATATGTGTATACATGAAATTGCAGTCCCTGATTTACTTTTGTTTTGAATTTATGAATTAAATAGTTTTCTTGCCTCAATTTTCAAGACAAACATTGAAATTGATTTTCCTGGTCAAAATCTTGCTATTAAGGGGAATAACCTTATTGGTGATATTATAAATAGCCCCTTTGTCCTTGCCTAAGTATAAGAATGCTCCTTTTCAGTGCCTGAAAATGCCTTGCATCAAATTTGAAGGTATTGTTCTTTCAAAATCAAAATTTGTAGTTGGACAATTCCATTAGCCACCGGGGATATGTGGCTTTCACATTGATGGTATTGATTTCATTGCATTTGTGAACTGTATTTAATATAAAGATTTGCTCATAAGGGGGTATGTTGAAGAGATAGTGTTTGACACAGAATTAAGGCCCTGATGGCTCCAAATAGACATTATAATATTGTGAATTGTGATGAAACTAGTATGCACCTCGGGAGGAGATAAAACTTGACAATCTCATGCCAAATAGTGGGATTATGTATGTATTCATGATTTATGGAATAGTGTGTATGTTCATGTATTACTTGTTATGTCCCTGCATTGTCCTTGAATGAAATTTAGGAAAGATAAGTTTGTATTTCATGTTTTATGTTTTAATTTGCAAAGATATACGGTATACATTTTTAGCTATCATGTATTTTAAATTCAGTATCCGTTCCAGCTTGAGAAAATTAATTGAATACAATTCAGTTTCAGAGTATAGGTATTTGGCTTTCGGTGATGTGCAGAAGTGTAGTTGTAGAATGAACGAATTGCTTCAATTTCAATTCGATCCATGCAGTTTTTTGTATGAATAATCAGGATTATCCAAATTGAAATCCAGGTACCTCAATGTGCATTTTATATTGATTGATATCATCTTGCAGCTTTGATTTATTTTTGTATATCACATTGAAAGGGTGTAAATATCATATACGAATAACTCGGTTGTGTTTTTTGTTACATCATGGATGATGAAATGAAGTATTGTTCATGTCAATAACTTGTGAATCAAAGGTGATGTGAATACAAACAAAATATTTCTACATATCTTGATCGCCCAGGTATAGCTTCTTTGTTTTTGTCATGTGTTGGAGACTGTTGAATGCTGTTAATAGACCGGGGAATAGCGATCACATTGGCTGCTTCCCGAGGACATTAGAATTTGTGTGTGAGAGACATTGTGGTGATAATCATACTGATAGTGACTGAAAGAAGGGGACGAATGTAAGAGAGAGACAGACAGACACAGAGAGAGTGGGGCAGAAGGAGTTGGAAGGGGCACAGAGAGAGAGAGAGAGAGAGAGAGGAAGGAAAAAAATAAGAGGAAAGGAGATGTTAGTAGGAGAGATAAGAGAAAGTGAGACGGGGAAAGGGCAAAAGTCGAAAGAAATTGAGGATTGAAAAAGGAGGGGGTAGATTAAGAGATGTAAAAAGAAATTGCCAGAAAAAAAGCAGAGAGAGAGAGAGAGAGAGAGAAAAAAAGTATAGAAAATCAGAGAGCCAGAGAAAGTAAGAGATGGGAGGGGGAGGAAAGGAAGCAGCGGACTGGGGGGGGGGGGGAATAGAGACAAGAGACGAAGAAAATGACTCCATCCCCGAGCTAGCCTGGGATATTTTAGTTCCTATAGCTATATGTATAATCATCAGTCGAGTGAGACCATCACCTAACCCTAAAGTACATCACCAGCTCATAGAACCATCTGTATTTGCATTATGATAAATGTACTTCAAATAATTAATCTTCCACATCGGTTTCGTGGTCATTGTGTAGATTCCATGTACATGTACGGGTATTTTTTATTTTACATGATATGGGGTGCGGTCAATTTGTGGCGAGCGCGCGCACTGAAAATAAAGGTATAAAATAAATGTTTAGAATCTGTCCTATCATTTCTACGGGAACATCCACATGCACCAGGCATGCTACATGTGTTTTTGACCCAGACTTTACAAAAAATAGCAACTTTAATTTGAGTGTATTGTAGCTCTGTTTCGTTAAGATAGTGATGGATGCACAAACCTGGAACATCTTCTCCGATGAGCAAGTGTACGAGGTAAATCGACTTTTTATCATTTTTTTTATCACTAAAAACTGAAAATCTCATAAATATCCGTTGTTGACGAAGGAATAGATTTTTGTTATATACAAGGGCTGTGTAAAAACATTATGTGCCATGGTATTATCATACAAACCGCTTTTCATGTAATGATTGTGAAATATGGTTTATTCTTGATAGATAACGTTTACATCCTCTCAAAACTTTATCTAACAAGAATAAATCATATTGTCACAATCATTTAATAAAAAGCGGAAGAACAAATTACTCCAATTTTATGGGAAACAATGCAGTGTATGAAACATGGGAAGAACACTTAAGATATTGTATTCACGCTTGTCAAGTAACTGCAACTTTTGGATGTAGCCCAAGTATAGACCCCCGCCCCACCATGCATTTTTGTTTTGCTCCCAAAAGATACAGTACGTATACCCCACAATATTTGGTTATTTATCATGTAAACAATAGTTGTTTATTTTTTGCTTATTAGAGAGTGAATAGTATATAGTGAATAGTAATAGTGATAAGTATTTTTTATTTTATATAATTTTATCTTTAAAGGAAAATAAAATCCAACAAACTTTAGCTGACAGCCTTATTGAAAACACTTGGGCCATATTTAGAAATATATTACTATAATGACCTATAAAATGATATTAAACTAAGTAAAACTCTTGATAAATTTAAAAAACTCTTGAAGAATGAAATGTTCTTGCAGTATAAAAACCACGCCCAATTAAATAATGAATAATTTGTTCCACATGTTTTGTTATGTTTTGTAATACTGCAAAGCACCAGCAAGGGGCGCATATAGGGACGCATGTGTCCTGTGTGTGTTCATTGCTGGTGCTTTGCTGTAAAGGTCTTATTGCTCATAAAAGATTATAAAGACCTATATTATAGGTCTTTATAATCTTTTTCTTGTATATATTTGTTTTCCCGTTAATGTTGTTTTTGTTAATTTCTCGATATATATGTCATGGTTGGTGCCCTAACCACAAGTTTGTATTCAAACTTTTTCAGGGGCTCATAACCCCATGTTTTTATATTTCAATGAATTATTGTATATGTATTTTTATGGTTGAAATGAATTGAATTGAACTGAATTGAATATTTTGAATTTATTTTTTATAAGTTTGCAGTTTCCATAGCCATTCTCCCAGAGGATTTGCCATTTTCATTAAAATACAGGTGTCGGAGTAGCACAACTTTTGAGATACTCACTGACCTGTATTTATCTGTGAAATTCATGACAAAAGTTTCCTAAGAAAAACTTGATTGTAATGCTTGCAAAAAAATGTGATGAATGGATGTTCTCTCATGTATGGCGACAAGCTATTTGATTCAGTTTTTTTCAATCAGTTTAGCACTTTATTTTGTTAAAGAAAACCTCACCATGCACAAGAAATAACTTTATTTATTCTGAGAGATTCAATGTGTTCTTGCCCATTCATGTACACGATTCTCCAGCTAACACCAAAGTGTACGAGAGAGGTGTAAAGCAAGATATTCTTAGCATAATGAACAGTTTCTCGTTGCTTGGTCAGACAAAGCTGCACCAACTACTCAAAAGAGTGACAGATACGTATCTAGAACAACTCAAAGAAATCACATCTTTGAGATGCTGGAGTAACAAGATGGCTGCAGTTAGCATCAGTGATTCTCGGTGTACAACACCAAGTCAGTAGGCAACAAGGGCCTATCTATTTTATGCAGGTCAATGAACTTTGACTGCTCTGGCATCACTTTTTTAATCGAAATGACAGCTCCCATGAAAAAGTGACTAGCAAGGAAACTGCAAACTTTTGATATTTTTTTTCTTTGCTATGTAACCAAACAAAGGTAATTTCAAGATAATTTTAACTGGTTGACAGTTTTGGATAAGATTTTCAGCTACGGTTTGTTGGGTTTCATTCACTTCCTCCTTTAATATTTATCTTTATTGATTGATTGATTGAATTTTTTTTCTTCATTCATTTGTTTATTTATTATTTATCTATCTATCTATACAGCTATTTATTTACCATTTATTTATGCATTTGGTTGATTAGTTAGTTATATTTTGCTTGTGGTAGAAATCTGGAATCCAATAATTTTTAATTTGTCTCCCCGCTCACGTTTTAACCCTAAATGGGCCGGAGGCAGAACCTCCCCTTTTCGCCGCGCGCTGCGATACGAATTGTTACAGCATTCAGAATTGTCAATTCACGGACGTGTGATTGGTTAATTAGCAATTATTCAAAACGGTTTTGAGATATGGATATGAAACTTGATAGATTTTTTAATTGAGATACTCCTCTTTCTATCTATCCCCTCCCTCGACTGAGAACGCATTAAAATAACCCGGCCTTTTCAGGGTTGAGAGTGATACCCCCCCCCCCCCCCCCCCCCCCACATGATGCTGTATTGTCATTGTCATTGTCATCTCTTTTCGTCAGCTTTGGCAAAAAAAAGCTGAGAGCTATTGTCAAGGTGCAGGGCCGTTTGAAGACAAACTTCGTGGGAGAGCACCTCAAGATGTCTTGATATTCTTGGAGAGAGTCGGAATTGGAGTAAGTCATATTCATTCATGCTATTCTTGTTAAATTTTAAGGTTGAATTTATTAGTAAACTTCATTCATATACATGAACATTTTGTATCAGGTTTGTATCAGAAGAGGAGTTTTATTGAGGTCTTTTAAAACTGAGAAAGCCTGATGCAATAATGCTGTCTTTTTCTTATATTTAGATATCCCTTCACGATTTTGTATCTATCATTCTCTTTACTACACCCCCAGTCTCTCTCTCTCTCTCTCTTTCTATCTCTCTCATCCCCTTCCTCTCTCTCTCTCTCTCTCTCTCTCTCTCTCTCTCTCTCGCACAAACACACACACACATAGGCCTACCCTATATCGATTACCCTCCCATTACCTTCCCTCTCTCCCTCTTTCTTTTCATCCTCTTTAATCTCTCTTTTTTCTCTCTCTCTCTCCCACTCTCTCTCTCTCTCTCTCTCTCTCTCTCTATCTCGTTCTATCAAGTACTCTTCATCACCTTTTCACTTACTTCTCTTTCCTTTTCTTTCTTTCTCATCCTCTTTACTCTCTCCGTTCTTTCTCTCTCATTCATCCTAATTCATTCCTCCTCTCTCACTCACTCTCTCTCTCTCTCTCTCTTTCTCTCTCTCTTCTCTCTCTCTCTCTCTCTTCAAATCTTCTCTACTCATCGATAATATTACTACTTTTTGATTTGATTTGATTTGATGTATTACTACTGGATGTGTCTAAGAATGTAAAGATATATAAACAAGAATTCCCACTGATAAACGATAGTACTTTAGATTAATGTATTTTTTTTAAAACATGAATAAGGTTGACTTGCAAGATAACTCGCATGCAATAATACAGGAAATATCAGTAGAATGAGAAATATATCATGAATTTCAAAGAGAAGTTCTAACACAAATGGGCTTTTTGTATTTTTAATAAGAAAGATAGTTTTAAGTAAAATGGGATGTATAAACGCTGATAACGAGTGCGCCCGGGTAGTCCATACCTTTATTTATTCAACTTCTAAATATAAATTACAGCAAAGATATTTTCAATTAATGAAACGTAAGATTACTAGAAATACATCAATGTTGTATCTTCTGTATCTTGTTGTTCACTTCACTCATATCAGTTTTGACGTGACGCGCTTAGTATGGAATAAGTCCCAAACAATGGCAAAAATTACCGGACCATATTTGAATATTTTAAAACAACAGTAGGCCCTTGATAATTATGATTCTTCTGGATCGCCACATCTAACCTTTCTCTTTTCGAATGTTTTTCCACATGGAACAAACTTAAATCCTTGTTAACTGGACCATTAACCCATTTAGAGGCATCCCTTGAATGTAATTGAATGTTTAAATCCAATATTTTGTTATAGTTAATGGTATCGAAAGTTTTTAATAGAAATACCAAAAGACCTTCTCTATAAAATTCAAACAGGCATTAATGAAGGTTTTGATTTTTCTTCCTAAACCAGAGAGATGTTCTGGATGGGCTTTCTATTATCCACGTTACTGGGACTAAAGGAAAAGGCTCGACTTGTGCTTTCGTGGAAAACATCCTTGAAACTTGTGGATACAAAACCGGTTTGTTAAGGTAATGACTTATTATTTATGTTTTTTTCTTCTATTATCACGAATAGAAAAAAACTAATGGTAATGCCCAGGTAACATGCCCATACGGGGCCCATTTGGGCAGAATCCGGGCCATCTGTGTATGGAGGAACCCATACAAATCCCAAATGTAAACCTCATTGGACCCATAATGGGTTATCCCATGTGGGGATCTACCTAGGTCTTCCAATATGAGTATAGCTAGGCAAACCCTTGTGGGAAAGATAATAAACAAGAGTATCTTCAATCATTTGTTCTGGCAAAATCGACATTAAAAACAAGAACATGATTGTGATCTCCGTACACATGGTTTAAGACCCGTGGGGGGGGGGGGGGTACTCACAGTTTGGACGGGGGGGGGGTCCCGCTCAAGCCTCGAAACCCCAACCATTTTAACCCTAATAAGGCCGGGCTATTTGAAGTCTTACTACGGCCGGGGGGGGGGCCATTATGGCCCCCCCCCCTAAGATCTCGGCCATGAAACGGCCGATCTCCGCGAAAATTTGCACGCATGTCAAGTGAAGTGTATAGAACAATATGATAATTTCAATTTTTTGAAAAAAATCCCTTATTTGCATATTTATGGTAATTTATGCAAATAACGTCATAAAATCACATTTTTACCCATAAATCCTATATTATTCATATTTAAGCATTCTTTTTCACTACATATATTCATTAGACCATTTGGAACAATAATACGACAAAAAAAATTGGAAGAGCCAGCTTATTCCTTATGTTATCTCTTGTTTTGATAATTTCTTATGTATTTCATTGTTTTTTTAACTTATTTTTGTTATTGTTTTTTTTTTTTTCATTTCTTCCTACAATTCAACTATTTTGACTCCCAAAACAACCACCTAAACTTTAAACAAGACCCAATAACCAATGTTTGATCTATTTTTAGGAAAAATGACATTTCCATATGTTTTGTACACAAATCACAAAAATGAGCGATTTTCGGGCTGACATGCAAAGACAAAAGGTCACGTGACCTTGTAACTATAGGTCCGATTTTTTTTTTTTTTTTTTAAAGATGCGCAAGACTCTAAAGAAAAAAGTCAGCGAGCGGCGAGGCGCCATCCATATGCGTTCTCGAACAATCAGCAAAATCGTGGAGGGGGGGGCCATAATGGCCCCCCCCCCCCCCGGCCTTATTAGGGTTAAGGGTCATTTAGGCAGATTTTTCTTGAAATATTTTGTCACAATTAAAATTAAAAAAAATTATAAACGGACCCATGTTTAGTGATATTTTTGTAAAGAAAGGGACCCATGTTAAGCATTTTTGTGTGAAAAGGCGACCCATTAGAGCTGAACATCCCTGTATGTATTAATATGTGAGTACACCCCCCCCCCCCCCGGGTTTAAGAAGGATACTGTAAGGCCAAGGAGTTGTAAAGAAACATCTTAGATGTGATGTGAACTTTTGATAACAAAATCGATGGACAATATATAAACCGTTCTGCTGTATATACATGTATAGGAGGCAAATTCTAGACAGCTTGTGGTTCATGATATGACAGAGACTTTGCCCTTTCAAAAAAAAAAAAACAGAATCAAGTAAAAGCTTTTCTGTAGTGCTTTTCATGATTCAATATGGTACTTTTGATAGGGTAACCAAACATAGGGACACCATAATTATTTGAGACTTAGGCAACATCTCAATAAATAGGTTGATGTTTTAATCAATTGAGTTTGTCACAAAATGATATTGTACGTGCAGTCAACCGGATAGGCCGCCCTCATGGCAAATATCTATACAGCCTTTGATCTATTGATAAGGATTGATCTTGGCAATAGCTGACACCAAGAATGCAAAAGAATGTCTGTGCACCTGTGTGTGTAACCACGATTAGGGTCACATGGCATCCAAAATGTTCATCAGTACCGGGTTTAATAAATTTCAAAAGAAAATTGAATTTGACCCCTTGGCCATATACTCTCTCTCTCTCTCTCTCTCTCTCTCCCTTTTCTCTCTCTCTCTCTCTCTCTCTCTCTCTCTCTCTCCCTCTCTCTCTCTTTCTCTCTCTATCTCTCTCTCTTCGTCATTGCCTTCCTTTTCCCTCTCGTATCCTTCTTACCACGAAGTATGTAATGTACATTGTGTATACCTCGATCATATAGAAAATAATCATCATTGAAACATTCAAACATCATTGAAATTATTCTTCCCCTGCTTCTACTTAGTAATTATTATAATTATTATTATTATTATTATTATGATAATTATTATTATCATTATTATCATTATTATTATTGTTTTTATTAACATTGTTATCATTCATGGTAACCAAATATAATTTTCTTAAATATTTCTTATTTTCTTTAAATGAACATTAGATCGTAATTATGAGCTGTATCCCAGCAACATGTAATTTACTGAAAGTTCTTCAGCTATTGCATTAATCAAGTTTATGTCTAAATAACATAAGATTTAGATATCATTAGATCATCTATTGGCTTCGATCCTTTTCAATTTCTTTAAAGCTCTCCGTCGCTTATAGAAATAAGGGAGCGCATTCGTATCGGCGGTACATACCTACCTCGCCGTAAGTTTGCAGAGTATGGGCTGACCATATTACAAAAACTTGAAGATGCTGGAAACTCGGGTGACGAACAGACGACCTACAGACAACCTAATTTCATCCAGTATCTCACCGTACTCAGCATGCATATCTTCCTCAAAGAAAAGGTTTGCAAACTAGAGTTAATGATCGATCTTTAGACTTGTTACTGGTGGGGGCCAGGTTATACGCATTTATATCAATGTCAAGCATAAAAAGGTTGTTAGTCTGTTTGTAATCGTCGGGTTAGCTGATGTTACCCCCTGGGCCCCTCACAAAAAAGTTGAGTCATTTCACCCAATCCAGCCCATGGATCTTGGATTAAAAGTAGTACAGTCAAACCTGTCTATAGCGACCGCCCAAGGGAAACACAAAAAGTGGCCTTTGTAGACAGGACTGGTGGTCTTTATAGACAAGTTCCTTTAGTACATGATTCAATGAGAAACCATTTTCAAGGGAAACAACCAAATTGTATGGTCCTTGTAGACAGGTGGTCTTTGTATACAGGCGGTCACTAAAGCAGGTTTGACTGTAGTAGACGAACTGGTTGTAGACCAAATGGCAATTCACCACCCTTCCATCCAGATGTATTGTAAGACGCCAACATCATTACTTGGGTCAGTTTTCATCATGTGCATGGATGAAGATGATGGACAAGAAGAAGAATACGAAGAGAAAGAAGAAGGAAAACAATATGTATCGTGTTCGGAAACAGTTATTATTTCGAAGGTTTTTTTTGTTAACCGTTTAAATGATTTCATTTGTATTATTTCCAGGTTGATGTCGGAATCGTAGAAGTCTTTATAGGTGGTGAAACGGACTGCACCAATATATTCAAGTGAGTTCATTTCAGAGAGAATTGTCTGAAACATTTATATTTTACTAAAATCTTTTGGGTAGGGGAGTAACATGATTGTTATTAACAAAAAAAGTGTAAATGTAGAGTGAAGACGTTTTGTTCAAATCTGATATATGTGTTTAAATAATGATCATAAAGTTTAATAGCGCCTTTCCGTGTAAAAGTAATACCGTTCGCGCACACGTGGCGTCTATTGCGTTATTTTCTGAGCTAATCAATCCTGAAAGCAATTAGCCCCCGCTCTTGTAATTCAACTGATTGATACCAATGTTTATTAGCCTTTCTGTACAATATCACTCTTCATTTCGCGTCAAAAGTCGCATCAAACGCAAAAGCAGTCTTACGTCTACAAAATGACGCTTCATGTACAGTGGACATAACAGGGAGAAGAGAAAGTTTACAGGGTCTTATCAGGGATCCCAGTCATTGCATGCAATTGCCTTCGTATAATCATGATATTGCACATCGGCATGATTATACACACTTTCTCTCCATCCATCGTGATGCATATCTACCGCAAATGATGTTCTCTTCCTATTATTGGTGTACCCACTTAATTTGGTGATCTTGAATCTTGAACATGCAGGACACCATCATGTGTGGGTATCACTACACTCGACTTGGATCATCGCGACAAACTTGGAGATTCACTGGAGAGCATCGCTTGGCACAAATCAGGCTTAGCAAGGGTATGGTTGATTCTTACACCATCAATTATTTCCCACTTACAAAATAGATGATTAGGGGGGTTGACGTAGATACAGGGGGGGGGGGGGGCATGCCTATTGAATGGCAAAAGACATCGATCTCTCTCCCTCTAAAAGAAAATAAATAAAAGAAGGGGAAAAGGGGAAACTAAATAAGGAAAAAAGGAAAAGTAGAGAGAAAAGAGTATTTGAAGAAGGATAAATGGGCCACTTTCCATCCTTCCCCATAACGAGTGGCCTTTTGAGTCACATTTCATCCACCTTGGACCGGTGCTCCCCTCCCCCATCTTCAATAGTATGCCAGTGTTCCCAAGGATCTCGCCCACGTTACGCCACTGTCATTGAAATCTGTCAATGATATTGCTATTGAAAACCGAATTCATCTACAGGTGTTTCGTATAATTATGTATCCCTAAGTGCTTTATCAGTTAATATGCCATAATAATAAAGATTTAGTTAGCATGTCTGATTCTCTCGTCCCAAGCTTTGCCTCTTGTGATATTTTAATGTTTTTTATAACATACAAAATGCAGGCAAAATGAAGTCAAGAGAGAGAGAGAGGGGGGAGGGGGTGGTGGGAAAGAACTTAATTAAAACAAGCTCCTGTACACTGTCGTTAAAAGCACTAACAGAATACGTCTAAAGCATGAGACAGCCATTAATGTAATTTTTGCCCTGCCATTTTACATGATCATATAGATAATAACATAAATGTGATTTTCTATAATAATGTTTTACCAACAGAAAGATCGTCCCTTGTTCACAGTCTCCCAGGAGTCAGGACCGCTGAAGGTGATGGTTGAGAGGGCTTCTGAATTCGGGGTAAGGCAAACTGAGAAGCATTTTTTTTTTCACAGGGAGGGGAGCTGATATAATTATGGCTTTTTACTCCAAAATTATCTGACAAGCACTCGATTCTTTTTAACTAAACGAATCAATGAATATATAAATTACAACATTTTGGGGATGCCTTTCACTCTATAAAAAAAGGGGGGGAAGGGGGGGGGGGGGGGGGAGAAACACGCTCATATGGAAATAGAGGGAGAAAAGGAAAATGGTTGGCACTTAAGGGGTTTCCATTTCTCTCGAGAAAAAAAAACGATTGCAGCATCCCAGGCTCTCAGGTGCATAGGATACATTGATTTCAGTTGGTCTGTTTTACCTGACTGTAAAGAAAGCATGCATGTGCTTGTAAGTTAGCAACCAGGGCACCGGATGTCTTTAATTCCTTTCCGAGGGACTTGGAAACAAGGACGGTAATGCCTTACCAAAGGGCACTGGCGCATCGACTCGGTTCCGAACCCGGGACCTCACGGTTACAAGACCACTGCTCTACCACTAAGCCATCACGCCTCGGTACATCGTAACTCATTTTAATTATCCTCATGGTCTAACCATAATAAATGTATTAACATTGCAAAATGCATATACAATTCATCTTTCTCAGGCAATCTTGAAGATTTGTCCACCGTTGGTCGAACTCTCGGTCGGTGGATCTCCGATCGAGCTCGGTCCCGAGGGCGGCCACCAGGCCATCAACGCTAGCCTAGCTGTTCAGCTAGCTCGTCATTGGATTGAAGAGCGTGATCCCAACCGATTTACATTTGATGGTAAAATTATATTCCATTCGTAATATAGGGAATTGGAAATCAAAATCAAATATTTGTTTATGTCCGTTTTTATTCTTATACTACAATACAATCGTACAGGAAACCAATGATAAAGCCTCTTTATATTTGTATGAGTTTCTTTTGACAGTTTCTTTCTGTAGGCACATACCTAAAAGGTCAAGATAATCACAAGAATTATGATAATTTTCACAGCATTTTGGTTTCCAAAAATAGGGAAAATAAACTATAGGGAGAATTCGAGTAATAGTACACCAAATCAACACGTAAGAAAGAATAGGTTATGGCCAGACAATATCATCCAAAGAATTTGATGCTGTTAAGCTTGATTAATCATAAGGGGCCCATCCCAGTTGAAGAGGGAAAAAATCACAAGGTTTACAAGCCTGACAAATTGTGGATACTAGTGCCATACAAATTATATGCAAGTGCATTCAAACTACCAGTGTATTAGATGGATATTAATAGTCTGTTTATTTTTTGTTTTTTGTTGTGTCTAGATCCAGCTACTAAGCAAGAGGCAACCAATACTGTTGACATCAATATTACAATAGACAACGTGCCTCTTGCAAGGACCTTTAACTTACCTGATGAGTTCATACAAGGTTTGAATATTTACTTCTACAAATTATCTTCTAAAGCCTTGTTTTAACCGTTCGGATCCTACTCTATTCAGCTCTTCTTTTTTTTTCATTCCGTATTATTTCATTTTGTCCGTTTCAGAAACCTTATCTATTCAGCAAATACTCTGAAAAATGAAAAACATAGTTAATGGTCGATATCAGATAGATAATAAGAAAAGCCAATGATGTCTCTTTAGTCTTTAGTCCCATGTGGTTTGAAGATCGAAGTATGAACAGGCCGTACACACTAAGAAAAAATTGTGCAAGTATGCACCTTTAGGGGTGCAAATCGATGCAACACTAGCAGCACCTTTAGGGGTTAAATCCTGCACCCTTTAAAAAGGTGCCAGAGTGAACCTTTTAGGGGACATGTTAGTACCATTTATGGTTCAATCCTGCACCTTTAGGGGTGCAAACCGATGCAACACTAGCAGTACCTTTATGGGTTCAATCCTGCACCCTTTAAGAGGGTGCCAGCTTGCACCTTTTAGGAGACATGTTAGTCCCCTAATGGTTCAATCCTGCTCCATTAGGGGTACAAACCGATGCAATAGCAGCACCTTTAGGGGTAAAATCCTGCACCCTTTAAAAGGTGCAATCCTGTACCCATGCTCGAGGAATACTCGTGAAATTTGCTCGTACACAAATACATATTAAACATGCATGTTGTTTCTTGGTTATAGTAATCATAATTATAATCAATATATCTATTACTAAAACGTGAATGTAACTGTAACATGATCAGACAAATACAATACAATACAATACAATGAACATTAAATTAGGGCGCCATTCCCATAAGGCTCAGAGCGCTAAAAAAAAAAAATTTATTGTTTGGTAGTTAATGATTGCCGAAGGAAAATACAAATCACAAAATTGATGTGCATTGTCATAATTTGCTTAACAAATCAGGATAAATGTATTTTTATGTGAACGCGTGTAAAGTAATCATGAATATGCATGCAATATGCAAACTTTTATTTTACACCCTTTTTTGGTCGATAGGGTTCATTTTTGTGGGAGGGGTGCAAAATCTTATATTGCACCCTTTTTTTAACCCCTTTTTCTTCAATAGGGTTCATTTTATGTAAAGGGTTCAAACTCTTATTTTGCACCCTTTTTTGCACCCTTTTTTCTTAGAGTGTAGGGTAACATGATGAAAAAGGCCTACTGACCAATGTGGCATATAGGACCAATTGGCCATAGGATCTTAGACCTTATACTAGAATCATATATCAATGGAAAATGCGGCATGGGACAAAGACCAATACTTTATAGTGGGACTTAGACCATAAACAATAATCAAGGATCATAGGATTACTGTGGTATAATGTAAATGACATCATCGTGGACCAAAAGGCCATTATGATCACCGAGAGCATGTGCGTAAATCAAGGACCAACGGACCAATGGGTGGTAGGATGAGAGACCAACAGGACGTACTATTAAGAACTAGTAAGTAATCAGGATAAGATACAATTGACACTTCACAGGCAGAGTAAAGTTCGGACCGTAGAATCAAGAACCTATAGGATCAAATACTATATTATACGTATAGAATCAATTAAAAATGGTTCCATGCGCCAGTGCGCTATAAGTTCAGAGACTATTAAAAATAAATAGACTATAGGGTTAAAGAGGAACAGGATGGAGGTTCAACCATAGGAACGTAGGATCAAGTCCAATGTATGAAGAAACACCTTTGGGAACTAGAATCAAAGGTCAATTAGGGAACACAGAACAATGTGCCATAGTCTGTTTTGTCCCATCCGGCAATCAAGATATTCATTACGCTCAAGGTCAGATCCTCTTCTTCTGCAATTATGACCATTGAACCTTACGATTCATTTGCTTCATTTGCTTCATGAATAATCTAAGTGAACGATTTCTTTTAACAAAAATAATCATTTCCTCATTCTTTGGCAGCTCTCAAGCGGTGCGACTTCCCGGGCAGATGCCAGATTGTGCGGGGAAATCACGTGACTTTTTACTGCGACGTCGCTCACACAGTAAAAAGCATGCATTCCTGTGGGAAATGGTTCATGTCCAAGGCGGGCATTGAGAGGGAGGAGCTTGGTGGTCATGTTAAGCGTGTCCTCATGTATTCCATGGTGCCTAAATTCACGATGCCCGACATATTGTCACAGATTGCGGTAATGCATACAATTTTGAGCATTGTTTTAAATGTTAATACATCATTCTCATGATCGACGAAAAGGGTGCAAGAAGTAAATATCAAAAAAGGACAGAAAAAGAAAAAGAGTTCTGGTACAAACGAGATATTTATTTTCGAAGGTCATGCGATGGTTAACCTGAAAAGCATCTTGTTGAAGAAAGAAAATTTAATTTGAACTCTATGCCCTACCTGCCAAAGAAATATCTGTTGAAATTGTTGGCTATAAAATCATTTTTAAAACTGAAATTGTATAAACGATGGCCTAAACTTTTTTTCAATCGGATAGGCTAACGACTAAAGGCTAAAGCGATGGTTTTACTCTTTGAGGATGTGTAGTTTTATAACAAATGATATTCAATACATCATTCTATCAATTTCGTTCTGACAGGATGTTGACTTCGACGCAATCCTATTTTCCCCAGGTTGGACAACATTTGGCGAACATGACGAGACACATCGTAAGTAATTAAGTACAATTGTTTATCATTAAAAGATTCACAATTTTATGCTTTTCTCTCTATTTTCTTTAAAAGTCACGTCTTTTCGCGTAATGTTACAGTCACACTTTCACGTAAAGCCCAGCCACAGCGCCCAGGTCAGGAGACGGTAAAATCATCAACATTTTTGAATTTCTCTCTACCCTCCAATTAGTCCAGAATCTGGCCAGTTCTTTTATGTATAATTCTCTACACACTTGATTCAAGCCACCGAAGATGGCACCAGCCCAGCCTAATTTGATGATCACGCCATCTGGGGTGGTAGCAAGTAAGTAGGGGGAGGTAATGATGGTGTACTGGTGGAGATCAAAATTAAATAGGCCAGATTCCGGACTACCCTCCAATAAGCGCAACGTACAACCCGTAACGGCAACGTACCACTGTTATATAGCCACGCGTCGCTCCGGTTTCCAAAAATTGCCTTACGTGGCGCCAACGGCAGAAACCGAAAGGTTTTGCGTGAAAGTTTGACTTTACCATCATTAATATGACCCAATTCATTCTATCACGCTTAGCAAGAGTCTGGAATCCATTCATAAGAAAACATCATCTATAGAAGGACGTACATGTGCACATTTTGATTGCTTTTTCGAAAGAACCTTCCTTATATAGATCTAAGTAATTCTGAACTGTTTATTATAGATTCATTGTTCGAAAAGCAAAATACAAAAAAAAACACCAAAAAATGGAAAACTTAATGGAAGTCATAAACTTAAACTGCGTGTGCTATTTCTCTACAAGTGATCGAACCATCCAAATTTTATTTGTCTTTTCTCATTTACTCAGCTGTAATACACTGATAAAAAAATTGATTGGCAAACGTCCTTTTCGGGGGGCAGTACTAGTCTAGTAGTGAACATTCGTTACATAATTTGGTTTCAATCTGTGTCATTTTACTCATTTAGTTTTCCGTTATTCGATAATTTGAGATTACCTGTTAGCCATTATCTTTATTTATTTCTATATAATTCCCTTAGCCGCTCGGTTCAAAAACAAGAATCATCGACGACAGCCTCAACAAGAATATCGCAACACCCATGTACTTCGAACGACTTTTGAGGATATTCTAGATAAAAGGTATCCGGCCGATAAGAAGAAACCCATCATCAAAGAATTTCCGTCGGTCTCGACAGCCCTCCAGTGGGTGGTGGGTGGTGACGATGATCTCCCGGAGCTCCTGATGTCGATGGCGCCAAAGTCAGACGATCATTTCGATGGCGGGAGCCACATCCAGGTGTTAGTGACTGGATGTGTCCCAATCGTTGGTGGCATTATCAAGATCTTCGATCCGTCGTCTGTCCTCGAGTATAAAAACGGCGTGTGATAAAATAGTTAAAGATCTGCGAAGAATCATATCCTCTCATGAGTTATCCATTAACGTTTTTAAAACCACTTACACGGTTTCGAACCAATGGAATTCTGACTCTTCTCTATATCTACCAACCCGTTACAATAGACCTACATTAGGTCGCCCAAGCAACATACCGGTAGAAAGAATTAACATACCATTAGAGATTTTCTTGTATTTGAAGAAAAAAATAGCGTCTACCATAATATCATTTTATTCTACTTTTAAAGTACCATCACTGCGAAAAAATGTTTTGATAGCTGGAAATGAAAGTGATGCTGGGAATTGTATCAGATTTTCTTCTGAAGATTTGATAAAAAAAAAGCTAGTTGTGACTGGTCATAATAAATGTAGTTAGTCTTTTAGAAGGAAGGTTATGGAACTCGTGAATTTGCATAATTATTTTCCAGATTGTTTGCAAGTATTTGGTTTGGTTCTGTAATTGTAGTATTTTAGTCATATTTTTATTTTTTAGGGGGTATAATTTTTGGAGAAAAGGTTCTAATATCTGAATACTTTAGTTCATTTTCATTTGATTGTATTACAAAAAACAGGTTGATTCAGGGTTTTCTTGGGGGGGGGGGCGTTTCACACATGACTGAAAATATGTTACATATATATTCTAGCATTTTCAATGTTGTTGTGTCTTTTGTCTAAAGAGAAGGGGTACCTGCCCCCTATACCCGCCCTGGATCGGTCATTGACATCGTAATTAACATCTTAAAGCAACCCGTGTCCTATACGAATTTATGTTAAATTCTAATTCAATTTTACTACATTGTAGTATTTCCCATATTTTGTATGGTAATGTATTACAATTATTCAGCCATTTTGCTATACAATGATATTTTCTAATAAACTTTGAATAAACTGGATACGATATTTAGAAGAATTCGGGTGTTAAGGAATTCTACAGTACCGTTAGTTTAATTATGACACCAAATAATATAAAGTATGAAACGTAATTGCATCACTGCATTTTCTCTCTATCTGTCCTTTTCCTTATATAGCACTTTCACTTCTTCTCCTTCTTGTCCTAGCTTCTTCTCTTTCTCCTCTCCTTCTTCGTTTTACTTCTTTTTCTTCTTTTTTCTTCTTCTTCTATGACTTCTTTGTCTTCCTCTAAATACTACTATTACTTCTACTCCTTCCCTCCCTTTTCAATCATCACTCATGTAATAATTATTCTT